AAACTTTAAGTGCAGGCCACTCATGAAGGCCACAGGCCACACCAACACCTTCTGGGTGCTGCACATCTGCCATGAGCACACACGGGGTGTGAAAAGTGAGTATTTTATGATTGCCCAAAAAAAAGGACACCTGTTAACGAAGAATTAACCCTTAAAAACAATAGCCTGTCACATAATCATACACTTAATACATGATGCATAGATTCCATTCAAATACAGGATTCTGTCTGGTCAGCGTCAACTTCTTCCTCATAATCCTTACAGTGTCATCCTGCCCGAGCAAGGCGGGAAGAAGTTCATTTGAAATCTCTGGGATTTATGAGTGGGCTTTTTGTCCAGAGCTGCCAATAAGGAACACCTCTGCAATTTATGAGTGGGGTTTTTGTCCAGCTCTTGGTCTCCACATGGGCAAACCAAGACACAGGAGAGAAGCACCTTGTCCAAGGCCACCTGGAAATGCAGGAATGGCACATCTAGGAAGAAAGTTCATCTCTACTAAGGTATTTAAGCTGCAGTCTCAGGCTATGTAAGGCTAAGGGCATCTCCAGATGCCAGTGGGGCACTGCAGCTGCCAGGCTGGGGGACAGTGGGGAAGCACAGTCTCTCTGGACATTCCCAGCAGGAAGGACAGTCCTGCCCTGTGGAGCAGGGTGCCTCTGCTCCCTGTGGTGACCAGAAATGCAGCAGAGCCACCAGGGGCCCCTCTGGCCAAGGCAGATGCTCCTAATGCCACTCACCCCCAGCACCCTGCCCTGCTCCCTGGCAGGCTCAGCCTCCATCTCTGCTCTCAGCTCACTCTCTTAGATCAGGGCTCTCCCAGAGCTAATCTCATCACTGCTAATTACTGCAAACGAGAGCAGAAGAGCTCTGGCACTTGCCCTTCTGCATTTATACAGCTGCTAACGGCAGCCCCTGTCCACAGGGAACAATAATGTGTGTCTCCTGCATTTCACAGCACATTTCCTTGGCTCAGTGACCTTAACTGCAAAGACATGTCTGAGAGGAGAAGCCTCTATGAGCACAGCACAGGAGTGAATGAAGGAACTCTTTCTGCTTTATTCATGTGAGGAGTCTGTCTCAAGATGCCACCAGAGCCAGCCTCAAAGGGGATGGGGGAAGAAAGAAATTCAGCCTGAATTCACTCTCAGCTTTCAAAGCCATTCCTGTGGCTGTGCAAGCTAAAGTGAGAGCCACTGGGGAAGGGAGAGGCATGCATGAGGAAATAAATAAGAGATCCCTGGTATGAAAACAGGCAGCTGGTGGGGGAAGGAAGCAATCCTTCTTTCTTATCCCTTCGTGAAAGATTTTGGCCTCAAGAGAGCAAGGGAACAAGTAACTTCTGACTGGAAGCCAGGTGAGGTACCTGACACTGTAAGAACATTCAAACCTGCAGACAGGAGCTCATTTAGAGCCCCAGCTGGGCTGGAACAAAGAGCAAAGGTAGGAAAGCCTATAGAAAGCCCCTGCTCAAGCCCAATCAGATTGTCAGGACACTCTGAAATTCAACCCTGGAGCTGCAAACTTTCAGGGGGAGATCTCAGCCCCTCTGCCTGCTGATAGCAGCCTGGGGGAGCCATGCTGAGTGCTGGAATAGGAATTGCTCCAGGGGGAAAAGCTGCACACATCTCCTGGCACAGACATCCCTCCTCCAGGCAGTGCATGGAGGGCTCTGCTTTTGCAGGAGGGGAACGAAAGTCTCCAACAAACTTCTGCTCCTGCAGTGTGCAGCAAGGCAGGGACCAGCACAGGGAACATCTCTAAACAAGATGTCCTGGGAAGGCTGTGGAGCCCAGCATGTCCTCAGCTCACCCACAGCACCCCTCATTGTTGTCATTATATTGCCAGAGTTCTATTTTCATTACATTGCAAGGGTTCCATATTACTAAAGTTTTGTACCTCCTTCACGCTTCTTGTAGGCAGCTCCTCTAGGCACTGACTCTTCCTTGTCCTCACAGCAACCAACAGACTCCAGTCCCACCAATCCACTCTTTTCTAACACTCTTCTTATTGGCTACAGGTGTGGCCTGTTAACATCAGGCCCGCTTCTAATCTTTAGTAACTAGTTCAGCTGCAACTCTTTAGGGGATAAGACTGCATTCTATACAACCTTCATTTACCCATACTGTAACCCCCTACTCCTCATCCCCTCCCTGTTGGGGAAGGTGAAACAGGAAAGCCTTATAAATATCATTGCCTGGCTAAAGATTTTGAGAATATGGAAACTATAAGTGAGATTGAAATGAAAGCAAGCTTTGAGATACCTCAGTTATTGGACAACTGGAAAACAATGGCATGGCCTGAAGGTAATCCCTTTTGGATGGAACAACACCCTCTGCTTGCAGACAGGTCCAAGGGTCAGAGCAGACCCTGCAGCTTGGCAGAAGGGGCCCAAAGAGGAGTTTTTAGGGTTTAAAATGTAACACAGTATGGTAATGCAATGATTCTTGTAGGCTGTATGGAAATGCTGTAGGATTTGTATCTTGTACTAGATTGGTTAGTGAGAATTAGAATATTCAATACAGAAGAAGATTTATTGTATTGTAACGGGAACCTCGCTCTCTTACCCTTTTACACTCTTACCTTTTTTACTCCCTTACCCTCTCATCTTCTCTACCCCTCTCTTTTCTGGGGCCTGCTCTGAGCTGTGGCTGGCAGCTCCCAGCAGGGCCCTGCACCCAGGCCCTTTGCAAAAACCCACAAGTTCCACGACCTGGCTACAGAGATCTCTCGTCTCCATCTGTCCCAACCATCCTACCTCAGGCTCACCAGCCCCATCCTAGATAAATAGATAGAACAACCACTACACTCATCCAGGCTTGCCACAACCATCACCACAACACCCACAACCATCCTGCCCTCCCCAGGCTCACCAGCCCCATCCTAGATAGATAGATAGAACAACCACTACACTCCTACACTCATCCAGGCTTGCCACAACCATCCTACCCTCCCCAGGCTCACCAGCCCCATCCACCCCCCCAGCAGGCCCTTACCTCCTCAAAGAGCTCCAGGCTGTAGGTGTTATCATCATCAGCAAAGTAAACAATCCCGGGCTGGCTGTAGTTTTTGTGAAAGGTCTCTCTGAGCCACCTGAGGGCCAGGTTCCTCTGCATGGTGCCGCGGGGGATGCGGGGGTCCCGCATGTCCCCGCGCAGTTTGTAGTTGCGGGGGGTCTCCACGTTCAGGTGGGTGTAGTTGAGCCCCGTGTCCCGCAGCAGGCGGGTGATGAGCGGCGTGCGGCGCTGCGAGTCCTCCACCAGGATCCAGTGCAGGTTGGGCACGTGCAGCAGCGTGTTGGCCAGCCTGGTCAGCTCTGCCTTCTGCACGGGCCGGCTGTAGGTGGGGGTGACCACGTGGATGGTGGGCAGCGTGTCCGACCACGGGGGTGGGCGCGTGTAAACGTACTCTGTCCTCACCACCTCCACTATGTCCCGGTCCGACAGGCAGTATTCCTTGGAGTCCAAGCCTGCAGCGAGATCACGCTGGGAGTCACCACCATCATCTGGGCAAGGGCATGGAGAGAAGAGAGAGCTGCATGGACTCGGGTGTCCAGCACCCCCTGGCTGAGCCAGTGGGTCACCCTCGTGGGTGCCAGGAGTGGAGGCTTTCATGGGTAAGGGCACGGATAAATAAAGGAATCAGGGACAAACACACATGAGAAAAGAAGGTTCTGCTGCTAGAAAACCAGCACCAAAAAGAAAAAAGGCCTGAGAGCTCACAACAAGCTGAGTGCTCAACAAGATGAGCTCCCAACTGGGCTGAGCGCTCACAACAAGCAGCTTCAAAAAGCACCCAGAAGAGACAGGTCTGTAGAGCAAGTAGGTTTAGCTAAAGAAAATAGCCATGTGGAATGATGGTCCATCATCCCTGAAGAGCTCCAGTGCTGTGGGCACCATGCTCAGTGGGGTGGGACTCAGATCTGCACTCAGGAACTGGAGCACCTGGATTGAGAGGCAGGGAAAAAACTGGTGGAAAACACCAGGCCAGGGATGATCCCCAGCAGCATGGTCTGGGCAGGACACTGCAGTGCCCCACTGCACTCTGACAGGCACAGTGAAGTGGGGAAAGACACACTTCAAATGCAGAAATGGAGAGTGGAAATTAGAGCCTGTAATTGTAGGTTTTTTCCTGCAGAGACTTTTCCCTGCCTCTAACTAACCTGCCTCAAAAAGGCCCCTCCAGCCTCTGAACAGAACAGCCCCCTCAGTGCTGCAGATGTGAGCAATGAACAGCCTAAAGATTGGACACTCTGATCCCAACATACAAAATCCCTGCAAATGTTCACAATCAGCTCAAGCAAAACCAGCAGTGATGCACCTGCTGCTTTTCCAGGGTGCAGCTTCTACGTGCAGGGCAGGGGGAATGCCACAGTCTGCAGAGATGAAGGGGGACCCCCACTCAGGATGGAAGGCTGCCTCTCCAGTGGGCACAGAACTCTTTGAGCCAGAGATTTTTCAACATCAGGTAACTACCAGGAACTTGAGATGAGAAAGAACAGGAACAGAGGCCCATTAGATCTGATCCAGCAGGGGATTACCCAGGGCTTTTTCATAGCATGTTATTCTTCCAGCAGCAAAGCTTTGATACCTGAACCAAATGAAAGCTTTGTACTCCATGGTATTGACAGAGAGGGGGTGGATATTTGGGGAAGGAACAGGGTACATGTTGCTATCAGGCCCTATGTGCACCTCAGCATCACAGCAGAGCTCTCTGAGAGCTGGAATCAATTCAGAAATAAATCTGCGAAATGCATTGGACACAGACACAAATGTAATTAGCCAGGATGGTGCCCGAGACAGTTTGCAAAGCCCTGCAGGTCAGATCCTCAGCTGTGAGCCCTGGCACAGGGAAGTGCTGCTGTTTGGGCATCTCCAGGTGCACATCCCTCTCAGCACCTGTGAGCAGACCATCTCAGAAATGCTTCACAAGAGCAAAATGATTCCTCTTGAGAGATTTCAGATTGGTCTCTACCACCACTCACTCTTTACTGGGGGCTCTGAGAAGCAGAGAAGTGTCTCATCAAGGTCATTGGTGAGTTCTTGACCGAGCCATTGGAGCAGTCTCTGTGCTGTAACTGCAGAGGCCATTCACAGAAAACAGATTTTAGGGCACTGATCAAACTGCTGTACAGACAGGCAGCATGCTTTTAGTAATTTTTAAAGTCTTTTTTAGAGCCCAGGAGATCCCTCACCCTCTGAAACACTGTCCACCTTCCAGAAGGGATCAGAGGCATTTTTCCCTGCCCAAAGCCTCCGAGGTGGCTGTCAGGAGAAAGGGAAAACTGCTCAGGACAGACTGAACTTCCTGCTGCTCAAACTGCGCATCAGAGTGTCCAGCAAAGGGATAAGCAGCTATGCAGGACGGGGACAAACACTGAAAGTGGAGAGAATCCCTCAGAGAGGATGAGAGAGTCCTGAACATGAGCTGTCCTTCTTCCCCTAGACCAGCCTGCCCACAGCAGAAGGGCAGAGCCAAGAAGGAAGGTGGCAGACGGCAGTGTGGCTTCTTCCAGCCCCCAGGAGCCCTCCTAGCCCTTAGATATTGCTGCTGTGCCAAGAACAGGACCAAGCTGGTGTGCTTCTGGCCAGAAGGGTTCCCTCAGCACTTCCTGCAGCCCCTGATTCAGGCCAGGGCTGTGTTTACTGCAGTGTGTGACAGGAGTGTGGAGTCAACTTCTCAGAGCACTTCAGCTCCCCCAGGCAGGTGAGATCTGGCTCTTGCCTTCTCCTTCAAGTGCAAGAGCACTGCTTTTCTGCTTTCCTTAAAGTGCTCTCAGCCTCAGGTCTCCCAGAGCAGCTGCCTCGAGTGGCAGCTTTGTTTCCTCTGCTGTGTCTTTTGCAGCTTTCCCGCTGGAATAACTTTGTGTGCAGAGCTCTGCAGAGGCCAGCAGGGAGGGAGGGAATCCTCTCAGGGAACAAAGAGAAGCAGCACTCTGGGCTGAGGCCATAAAGAGCTCTCCAAGTGCAGTGAGCACATCCCATGGCGTGGAGTTTTATGCCTCTGATGAACCCCTGGCAGCTGAGGTGGGGAGTTGCTGCCTCTGAAGAACACCTACAGCAGAGGTGGGCAGTTTGATGCCTCTGAAGAACCCCAAGGAGCTGAGGTGGGAGTTTGATGTCTCTGAAGAACCCCTGGGAGCTGAAGTGGGGAATTTGTCTCTGAAGAACACGTACAGCAGAGGTGGGGAGTTTGCTGCCTCTGAAGAACCCCAAGGAGTTGAGGTGGGAGTTTGATGTCTCTGAAGAACACCTACAGCTGAAGTGGGGAGTTTGCTGCCTCTGAAGAACCCCTACAGCAGAGGTGGGCAGTTTGATGTCTCTGAAGAGCCCCTAGAGCAGAGGTGGGCAGTTTGATGTCTCTGAAGAACCCCTAGGAGCTGAGATGGGGAGTTTGATGTCTCTGAAGAACACCTACAGCAGAGGTGGGAGTTTGATGTCTCTGAAGAACCCCTGGGAGCTGAGATGGGGACTTTGCTGCCTCTGAAGAACCCCTACAGCAGAGGTGGGGAGGCTCCTGCATGGGCATGGTCTGGGAGCTGAGATGAGCATGGCTGCCATGGAGGGATGAAATGAGAGAGGAGATGAGGACGAAGGGGGGATGCACGGGCTCGGCATGGGCTGGTTTGGTTTCTCTCACCCTTGTGCACTGCAAGCAGAGGAGCAATGGTGCTCTGGTGCCACACGGTGATTAGCAGTGTCCAGGGCAGAACTATCAGCACGATAGCCAGGATGTCTCGTCTCTTCGGCATCTCCAAGACTGACTGGGCCCACAGCTCCTCATTACCTGACAGTGAAAACCCCAGAGACAGAACAGCAGAGCACATGGAGAACAGAAATAAATGGGCAGGAAGGAGCAAGGACAGAGAGAAAGAACGCGAGAGAGGCAGAGAGCAGCAAGGTGACACGGCTCGTGGGTCTTACCAGTGCTTACAACCCACCCATTGCAGAAGCAGGTTTGGAGGGGCCTCGGAGCCAGGAGCAGGAGGGAACCTCTGCAGGGCACTGCTGGAGATGCCAGCAGGAACCTCAGGGACTCAGGTGGGAGGAAACCTGCAACACACAGCAAAGGCCAGAGGGCACTGTGAAAAATGTATGTTGTATGGCTCTATGCAGATATTTACCATGTGTATTTTGTTGTATTGATTAGTAGTGCTGTATTCACATTTTAATAGTTTTGTAGTTAAAAGGTAACTTTTGGAGTTAAAGTAGTTAAAAATAAAGTTTAACTTCTGTAGTTAAAATAACTCTTTGTTTCTGTTGTCTCATATTGTCATCTGCTCTATGCAGATATTTACTATGTGTATTTTGTTGTATTGATTAGTAATGCTGTATTAACATTTTAACAGTTTTGTAGTTATAAGGTAACTTTTGTAGTTAAAACAGTCAAAAACTTTTGTAGTTAGTGTAGTTAAAAATAAACTTTAACTTTTTTAGTTAAAATAACTCTTTGTTTCTGTTGTCTCATATTGTCATCTGCTCTATGCAGATATTTACTACGTGTTTTATGTTGTATTGATTAGTAGTGCTGTACTAACATTTTAACAGTTTTGTAGTTAAAAGGTAACTTTTGTAGTTAAAATAGGAACTATGTATGTGGGATATTTTTTTTAAGAAAGGAATGAGGCACTTGCACCAGATAGCAGCGACAGGACACCCAAATCTTTCAGAGAAAAAGAATTCATTGCCCCATTAGGAGAAGAAACTAACTTCTTCCTGGCTCCTCAGCCTGGAAGGTCCTTCAATAAAT